TTAATATTTTAAATATTAAATCATCTAACTATAAATCTGTTCCTCTGCATTTTTGAGATATAAAACCAGCAATAAATTTAAGTAGAAAAGTTACTAAAAATAAGGAAGAATATGTGATTTTTCAACAAATTAATAATACTGACTTTATAAAGTTTATGATTTCTGAAATAATCATTTAAAATACCTTCCTAAATAAATTTTAATTTTCAAATCACAAATACAGAAAATTCTTGACAAAGTAATTTTTCGATATTTAAAATATAAAAAAATTGTTGGGCATGGTAGCTCAAGCCTGTAATCCCAGTTACTTGAGAGGCTGAGGTGGGAGGATTGCTTAAGGTCAGGAGTTTAAAACCAGCCTGGGCAACATAGTGAGAGGCTGTGTCTGTCTGTCTGTCTGTCTCTCTCTCTATATATATGTATATAAAAAGATAAAATTCTTATTAAAATCTGTATCAACTTCCAGTCATGTATTAAACCACAATTTAAAAATTTTGTGTTATATGACAAGTAAATTACAGCCATTTTCTGATGATAAATTTATTTTAGTCTTGCTGCCAGTTTTTAGGAACTCTATCTAATGGCTAAGAACAAAAATTACAGAAATCAAAGAATGACTTTTCTTATGATAGGCAAATCGCGAGTTCAAAGAAAAAAATTTAAAAATATATTCTCTGATCCCTTGTATCTCTCCATCATTTTTCTAACCTCCTGTGATCTAATACTAACAGCTCTATCTCAAACTATATAAACAATTTATATGTATTTAGTTGATAAGATCTGTGTTTAAAAAATCTATAGTTTTTACCTACAAACACTAATTCAAGGAACTTTTGTTTATCAGTATTTTATTAGGTCAAAAAAGTATTCCAACTACACTTGGCCTTTTAAAATATAATTTCGAATGTCAAAATGGAACCTAATGATTTTTAGGAGGCACAATCTAGAGATTTCAATGCAAACTTTCTGATGAAAGGGTGATAATTATGAATAACTTTCAAATAAAAACTTGAAAATAAATTTTACATTATCTTAAGAGTAATGATTTCCAATCATTTTAAAGGAATTTCATTTCTTTTCTCTGTAAGTGCTTCTTAGCAATCTGCATCCTGGGAACAAATCAGAAATGAAAACTCTTCCAGTTCCACCACAGACCTAATGGAGCGGAAACACCAGGGACTGGGCCCAGTAATCTATGCTTTAAGACGGCCTCCAAGTGATTTTGGTCACTAAGGTCTGAGAACCACTGCTCTACAGCATTGATACCTAGAAAAAGAACAACTTTCATGATATTCTAAACAGAGTTCAAATATTAAGACTACAATTGCTTACCAGGTGGTGGCTGTGAAGGGTTAAAACTTGCTCGTAGAAAAGGAGGTGGAGGGATTGGACTGAATCCAGGAGGAGGAACTGGCATCGACACAGGAAATGCTGGTGGGACTAAACTAACTGTAGGCACAGCTGGAGCCACTGGAATCTTTGGTGGATAGAAAAAAAAGTCCACTGATCAGTTTATTTACCTGCAACGATTACATCCTGGAACAACTAAAGGTAAATTATTTCTATTTCTTTTTTAGGAAGGTAGCAAATGCCGTTTTAAAGTTTTTGGGTTTTTTTCTTTCTTTCCTTTTTTTTTTCTAACCTGTGAGTGAAACTACTTAGGGTAAAAACAAGGCAGTATTACTCAAAAGAGTTTACTTAGAGATTGTGAACTCTATCTTACATTTAAGAGATATAAAGTAATGGTCACCTAGTTGAATACTGAATATCATGCATTTTAAACTTCCATCTCCCACTAAGCTTAACCATACCTACTTATGCTATGCAACCTAACTACCATTAGGAAGCATGTAAATAAGAGCTTTAGAATGGCTCAAATTTCTCATAAATTTATTTTCTAATCCCAGCATAAGTATCTTTTGCTCACTGTAGGTACAAAAAAATCCCAAATATTTATCTGTACCATAGCTTTACCTCTCTTCTGAACTTCAGCATTTCCCAACTGTCCTTCCCAAAAGAACTCTTCCCACAGTTTTTCCCATTCTCAGATAATGGTAACTCCATCTTTCCAATTTATCAGACCAAAACTCTTGCCTCTCTGCTTTTGCTCACAACTCCAATCATGCCAGGAAGTCCTACAGTCATACCTTGGAAATAAACCTAATATCTGACCAGTTCTCATTACCTCCACTGCTAGCAGTCTATTCTGAACCACCATCACCTCTCACCTGGACTGCTATTAATACAACTGTCTTTTAACTGGTCTCCCTTTTATCAAAGCTCATTACACTCTATTCTCAAAATAGTAGCCAGTGCAATCATTTAAAATTGTAAGCCAGATCGAGTCACTCCTCTGCTCAAAATCCTCCACTGGCTCCTCACCCCACTCAGAGTGGAAACCAAAGTCCTTACAGAGGTTTATCTTCAACTAACCTGCCTCTCACTGGCTTTACTCTAGCCTACTTACTGTTCCTGGTACACACCAAGCATGCTCCCGGCATAGGTTGTTACCTATGCCTGGAATGCTCTTCCTCAGATATCCACATGGTTAATTCCCTAAGGGTGTTGCTCAAATTCCACATTCTCAATTAGGTCTACCTCACAATTCTATTTAAAATTATAAGCACATACCCAGGCACTCCTGATCAGCCTTATACTACCTTTTTCCTTCCATAGACTCTCATAGTCTTATTTATTTTACATTTTCTGACTCCTCTATTGAGAATGAAAAGTTCAAAAGCATAGGGATTTGTGGGTTTTGCCCTACTGATGTGTCACAGACCCAGCACTCAATAAATATTTGTTCAATAAACAAACATTTAAATATGAATGAGATCATTTCAAAAATAATTTTTTCAAAAAATGTTTGATTAAACTCAAGACAACTTATTGTCCTGTCAGTTTGACTTCTCAGAAAACCATCACTTTAAAAAAAAAAAAAATCATTCAAGTTCTCAGAAGTAATACTTCCATATTTACATTTATTTTAAACTTAATGTGTTTAGCACAATGATACCACAGCATTAGTAACATTTTTTTAAAGAGATTTTTTAAAAAAAATTCTTTTGCCTAATACTATTGACAAATATTTATTCTAATTTGGATAATTTCCTCTAAGTTTTATAAAGTAAATGCATGAGTAAAAACAGAAATGCAAAACAACACATTTTACAAAACAAAACAAACCACCCAGCACTAACCTGCAACATAGCAACAGGTGGAGGGAAAACCTCTGCCTGGGTTGTGACCACTGTCTCCTTTTCAACTGGAGTTGGACTCTGAGTTGTCTGGACCGTCTCTTTAACAGGTTCTGAACTTTTCACAGTTTCCCATTCTAAACAAAATATTTGATATTGATTTCCTTTGGGTTGGTGCGACTTCATCATTTTCTTCTACGTATATTCATTTCACATCTAAGTCTTTCATCTACCTTGGCACCTCTTTAAGATATATCCACAACTGTAGGTGCCACCCTAGATTATTGCTCAGATAAATCTGATTAGGATACCAAGGAGTCCAAAAGAACATGACACATGAGACATAAATAAAAGATACTAAAATATTTAATCTAAAGAAAACACTTAGAAGGGATATAATAGATGTGTATCTCAATGGCTATCTGATACAAGAGGAACCAACCTTACTCAATTTTTTTTTATCACAAGGTACAACAAAGAAAGACCAACTAGGAAAGTATTAACCCAATACAGAAAAATCCTTCTGAAAATACAGCTACCCGGAATTAGAACAAACAAGCTCTAATGGTTCCTCCAAGGTTTCCCTATCTCTTTCAGAGTAAAGATCAAGTAGAACTACTAAGATTTACATAACTTTGCCTCTCTGTACATCTCTCTGCCTTCACCTTCTACTAACTACTCACTCTGCACTCCCTTTGCTCAAGCTACACTGGTCTCCTTATTTTTGAATATAGCCTTTGCACTTGCTGTTCCCTCTGTATAGAATGCTCTTTCCCCAGATAGCTACATGTCTCATCCCTTCATACATCACTCTCTCCATTAGACCTTCCACAATCACGTAAAAAGTACAATACCTCCACAGCCACACTGTTCATCTCCCTTCCCTGTTTTTCCTTCTTAGAACTTAACATTGAAGTACTATATAGTTTATCTATTTTGTGTTATTATCTATTTTTTTCCACTAAAACATGGCTGGCAAACTTTCTATATAGTATTTCAGGTTTTATGGACCATATGTTCTGTTGATATTATTCAACTGATGTTGAAAAAAAAGTCATATAAAATAATAAGTGAGCATGGCTGCATTTCAATAAAACTTTATTTACAGAACAGGCTACCAGCAGGATTTGGCCCATGGGCAGTAGATTGTCAACCTCTGTGCTACACTCCACGAGAAGAAGGATTTTTGTCTATTTGTTTCACAGCTATAATTCCAGTTTCTAAAATTAGGCCTGGCACACAGTAAAAACTAAAATATTTATTGAATGAATGAATGTCCTGGAGAAACAGCTGTGTGTGGGGGGGGGTAGGGGGAGGGACTGATGGGAAGAAAACAACTGAAAAAAATGTTTAAGAGCTTTACATTGGCCTGAGAAGTAAAACATTCTGAAAATCAGCTGATTTTGTTAAATAGAGCTAAGATGTGAAGAAATAAGGTATCTATTATATTTCAGTTCTTTTCTACATGTCAATTTTAAGATTTCTTACTGGTTATAACTACTAATCATTTTATTTTAATTTTTCTTTTTTGTCAATCACCTGGCCAATTGGAATAACTACTAACCATTTTGTGAATTTATAACTTGAATCTTCCAAAATAAAGAGACAAAATTTTTTAAAAGAGCAGGCTAGATGATCATTTGGTATTTTAGAAGGCATTCTAGAAGGTATTCTAACACTGCATGAACCTGAACCAGAGCTCTCTAAACTAAGCTTCTACTCCTGCTATTCCCAATATGGAATATTGTTCAAAATAACATGTGCAGTTTTTCAAAGAAGCTTCCCAAGTCCTCAGTTCCCACTTAAATTCAAAATTAGAAATATTTAGTTTTGAAAAGCGTTCATATACACAGTTGTACGTGAAATATCAAAAATTTTAAAAAGACATATGAAAAATGCTACATTTATAAACTAATCTATACTTTGACCCCTATGAAATAAGATCCAGTAAGTATATACATTAGACACAGTAGTGTTTCTTTTCTTTTCTCTTTTTTGGGAGATGAATCCAGAAAATAAAATATACACAATTTACCCTCCCACCCAAACTCATTTCAATTACCAACTTTTAAGAATACTTTTTAACAATAAAATGACCTCGGGGTTCTTACCAGTATTTACAGTCTCCTGATCAATCATGCCTCCTTCTGCAAAACCTTCCAAGTCATCCACTTTAACTTTTTCCCACGGTATATATGTCACCCCGAGATCCACGTCCCAGAATTGTTTGTATTCTGTTTTTACACCTTTGTTTAAAGCCCAAGCAATCTATAGTGAACGGGAAGAGGAAAAGAGGAAACTCATATATATACTGTAAAAACAAGGCAGAAAGTTCAAAATTATATGTAAACTATGTAAAAACAAATAAAATCAGTTGTAGAAAACAGGTGGTGCCTGTAATCCCAGAACTTTGAGAGAGTAAGGAGGGAGAATTGCTTGACGCCAGGAGTTTAAGACCAGCCTAGGCAACACAGCAAGGCCCTGTCTCTAAAAAAACAAGTCAGGCCGTGGTCACGCGTGCCTGTAGTTCCAGCTGTTCGGGAGGCTAAGACAGGAGGATCGCTTGAGTCCAGGAGTTTGAGGTTGCAGTGAGCCATGACTGCACCACTGCTCTCCAGCAAGGGCAACAGAGAGAGACCCTGTCTCTAAGAAAACAAACAAAAAAAGAAAACAGTAGGATGGGCAAAGCTGAAAAACTAATAACGGCCAAGAAAATTTTTTCCATTATCTTCTGTTTTTGCTCATTTTTAAAATAAAACCTGCATTAGAGATAATGCTTACAATCTGGGATTTATTTCTACTTCTTACTTCAACTCTAAAATTACACATTTCCAGAGACAATCCAAGTCTACTTTTCATCATAAAAAAAATGAATCTACATTAGTGATAATTAGGAAAGTTATTATAACTCAAGCAAAACCTTTTACTCCAAGAAGGAGACCAGTGATATTTTAGTTTATAAAGAGAATACATCCCCCATGAAATGAAAAAAGATAAGCATACATTAACTATCTTGAAAGCAGTTATAGTTTTTAATCCAGTTGCAGAAATTGATGGAATAAATTATCTCAGAATAGCAGGAATGAAATTGTGAATTAATCACCAGAAATAATGGAAAAATACTCAATAAATCGTCAGTGTAAAGATTAGGAGGAAAATAAAAACTTACTTATAGATAATCCCTTCACAAAAGCCTGGTATATATAAAAAAAGATGTTTTTTTTTAAAAAAAGAAAACTTAATAATATAATTAGGGGGTATAATTAAGAAGGGCTGGAAAGAAAAAATGAATGAAAAACAAACACGTAAAAATGAAAAAGTTCTCAAAATGGTGCCCTGGTTGACTCAGAGAGCTATGGCAACTGTGATTCAAGGAACTGTGTGACTCAAGTTTTGGTTATTGGACTTATTTTACCCATATCTAACTCTGTAACTCAACAGTACTGAAATAAATAGTAAGTTTGTGATGAGATTTGTCCATAACATTAAAAAAGAAGATGAATATAATATAGGGACATTCTAATAATCCAACAAGAGCACGTGACCCCTTCCCACAAAAATCTTACACTTTAACAAAACAGACATTAAAATTAAGACATGCATTCCCCTTCCACAAAGTCTCACCTTAATGACCTTGGACCCAATTTTATATGATCCAGAACTAAGTTTCTGAAGAGCTCGAAATGCATCTTGTCGATGAACCATACAAACATAAGCACAGCCCCTGGGAGGAATCATCTATTTAAAAAAAAATTTTTTTTTTAGAGAGAGTATAAGAATGGAAATTCATTCTGGTATTTTATAGTTTTAATGAAATAGAACATTGACTCTGTTCCAATTCAATTTTGATAGATTACTGAATTGCTTTCCCCTTTCTTCCTTCAGCTGTTTATTGGTACAACTAATGTACAATTAATTAATGTTTGTTAAAAAAACCCCAAATTAAAACCTAATTAAGTCTCATTCTAAGCCACAATATACATGAAATCTTAAATAGCACATGCCACAGTTTTTTGAATACAAAATAAAGACTATCAAGAACAAAAAAATAACCACATACATACAATACCACCAGACTAAAGGAAAATAATATTGCATGGCCAAAATATTTGAGGACAAATAATGTATTCCTAGTATTATTTCAATTTTCCCAATGTTATATTGAGTAATGTGAGGAAGGTTTTTGTTTTGGGGAAGTATCTTATCCTTAATATAAAATCTATAATCTGTAACTGATGATAAAACTAAAACTTTTCAGTTTTTTACAAAACTTTATTTTGTTCAAGTGCTCTGAATAAAAGTTTTAACATGAATAGGAAAACAGCCTCAGTGTAAAGATATGAGACTGACTTAGGAAGCATTTAACTATTCTATAAACTACCAGATCATAAAATTATCCTTAATGTATGAATTCAGAAAACTATGCACAGCATTTTTCTTTTTGAGAAACCCAAAAGGTGTTCTATCAATTTATTATTACTCAACACCTAGTAAATTTTATATGTCAAAATAAAAACCTCTCCTCAGCTTTGATAATACTTCAAGCTACTGTCTCTTTAAACCAGATCTCTTAAGAGACACTTATCTAAAACCTGACATTCTTCTTTATTTCTTGCAATATAGCTCCAACTCCTCACCAACTCACTGAAAATATTCTCTTCAAGCTCACCAATAACCTACTAAATGCCAAATTCAAAGGACTTTTCTGTCTTCAAACTCCCCACAACTAAGTGAATGGGTTATGAATCTTCCAACAATTTTCCACATCCTAAATTTTACCACTAACCATTCTGTTCAGTTCACAAAATAACTTAGTGCTTACTATTTGTAAATAATAATATGCTCTCAGAAAGTAATACAATAGAACAGGGGGTAAAGGCAAACAGATGCTCAGGGGACAATGATACAAGAAATACTACAAATATTACAAAAAAGAAAATCCAAAATGTTAATGGGATACAGGATCCCTTCAGAACAACGATTCCTGGCTGTGCATCAGAATCACCTGTGTAGCTGTGGCACTCTGCTAAGAGTTTAAAGATATTGAGCATGGGCATTCCTAATTTTTCAAATATCAACATATATTTCTGATATGCAGCTAGGGCCGAGAACCAGTAGTTTAAGGGTAGGGGAAAATCGGAAAAAAATCTCAGAGAAGTCACATGATAACTGAAAGACTGCTATGTTGTGACAGGTCAAATTTAAAATGAAAAAAACAAGAAGTCTATAGCACTGTTGTGTAGAAAGAAAAATCTGAAATACCTAAGTTTAAATACTCAACCAATCATCTATTATCTTTGTCACTCAAACAAATCACTTAGTTTCTTTACTGGAATATAACAATATCTCAATTAAATTAACCAGCTTCTGGTGAGGCTCCAATAAGATCATACGTACTTGAAAGTAAAATACAAATGGTTACACTCAATTCAAATGAAGAATGCTGTTATTAACACAGAAAAGTCAAGTTTGGCCATTTAAGGAATATTGGGAACTAAGACTAGAAGGAAAAACTGGGCAATTTTCTGGTAAAAGGTCCAAGTATAACAACAGCAAATGAAATCAGAAGCCTAATGAAATAAAATTCTCAACAGCAAAGTATAACAATAGCTAATGAAATCAGAAGCCTAATGAAATAAAATTCTCCTCAAATAAATGACTACAACACATTTCATTATTTTATTTCACTACCTGCCATTTACATAATGGGAGGAGACAGAAAGTAAATGATTTGTAAATATAAAAACAACTGAAATGGCTAATTAAGGACAGGTCTCAGGAAGAATAAAATGCATATTCAAAGGAGATTGGGTGGTGCAAAATCAGTGAAAGAATCAAGTTGAAGAGTGAGATTATGCTCAAACTACCACCAATTCCCTGACTATACTGTTTTTTGCCTAGAATTTGCTTTGTTTTATAAGAATGAGAGGGCAAGAGTGAGAAAAGAAAAAACAGGCAAAAAAGACTGGAATCCTAAGTCCAGTTGTATCTCCACCACTACGTACGTGCTCATTGTGCAGGTGATTACAAGTCTGTAGGACTCCATTTCCTTATATACATTTTTTAAAAAAGGAATTAAACTAATTCACGCATAGGGTTTCTGCTAACTCAGACATTTGATGTTTTTAGGAATCAAGTACTACACTGCTATAAAACCTCCAAGAATATTCTGTTACAATTCCACTTAAAAAGAAAAATTAATTAAGGAGAGAAACAGCACCAAAACAAATAAAGAAATGATCAAAGTAAAACAATCCTTCTACAGATGTGCATTATTAAAGGCAGATACTACTGAGCTAATTAGGAACAGAAATGATTCTTTGTATGAGTGAAAACTCCCTCTGTTTTTATTAACCTTAAAAAATTATTTAAGAATGGATACTTACATTGATGGATTCAATTTGTCCAAACTCTTCAAACAGATTGGTTAAATCTTGCTGTGTTGCCTTCTTGTCCACCTGACCAACCCAGAGAGTTGTACTACATACTGCCAAGACATAAGAGACAAATGACCTAAATTACATGTACACAGTTATTTCTTTCAAAAATAGCTGAGGAAAAAGCAATACTACCAATAGATTAAATTTAAGACAGTATATTAAAAATACTTGTTAATGGGCACTTGTATCTGTTATGTTTAAAATCAACCAAAATCCTAGGTGTTCACTCACATCTCTGCCAAGTAAACCACTTGCATGTCACCTGCCCTCAAGCTTAGCTATACACTTGAACCACTTGTGGATGCCAGGGACCTATTCTAAGAGATGATGAGTGGCACGCAGTATAAAATAGCGGTCCCCAACCTTTTTGGCACCAGGGACCTGTTTGAAAGAAGACAAACTGTCCACTTACCGGGGGAGGGGACGGTTTCAGGATAATTCAAGCGCATTACGTTTATTGTGCAGTCAAACCTCTCTGCTAATGGTAATCTGTATTTGTAGCTGCTCCCCAGTGCTTGCCTCAGCTCCACCTCAGATCATCGGGCCTTAGATTCTCACATGGAGCGTGCAACCTAGATCCCTCGCACACACAGTTTACAGGAGGGTTCATGCTCCTATGAGACGCTAATGCCCCTGCCGATTTGACAGAAGGTGGAGCTTATGAGGTGATGCCAGTGATGGGGAGAGGCTATAAATACAGATGCAGCTTCACTTGGTCGCTCCCTGCTGCATGGCCTGGTTCCTAACAAGCCACAGACCAGTATTGGTCCATGGCCTGGGGGGGGCTGGGGACTGCAGGTATAAAAAAAAGACTGGCAACTGGGAGCTGTAAAATTCCCTAGGTGATTCCAATGTGCAAAAAAATTTCAAAACCACCTCTCACTGCAATCTATCTGTGAACCTTTTAAGTGTCTTTCTGTGCTAGAATGATTAAGTGTGCAATGACATTATATCTAAAAAAAAAAATGTGCATACCTTAATTTAAAAATACTTCATTTCTAAAAAATGCCGACACAGAGACAAAAAGTGAGCAAATGCTATTGGAAAAATGGCACCAACAAACTTACTTAAAGCAGGGTGGCCCCTAACCTTCAATTTGTTAAAAAATAAAAAACAACAAAAAACCCCACAGTATCTGCAGCACATGATAAAGGAAAGCACAATAAAATGAGGTATACCTGTGTTTGCTTGTGTGCTTTTTGAATTTTCTCTTTTTTACTGTGTGTTTTACCCATGAAAATATAAGACAAATAAAAAATCAAGTCCATGGTTCATAACTATGTAAATACTGACAGCAATAACATGACAAGTTAGGTAAAGAACTAAATGAAAGAGATTCCACATAAAAGCCCTACCCTAATATTGGTGAATAAATTGATAATTCAGAATGTCCTAATGGTAATCAAGTGAGAAAGCACAGTACAGTTTTGTGGTCAGAACTTTGACATTGTTTAACGGCCAGCACTAAAATGTTTAAATTTAAGTCTCTCACTCTAAGGTGAAACAGAAATTTCCAGAGCTAGGAATACCAATTTTATTAAATTAATACTAGTTCTCATAAGCTGATAAGATTCAGACAGGACAGCCAAGGCCTACACAAATTACCAAAACTTAGTAAGAAGATGGCTGTCGCCTTTGATTAAAGGCCTGGGTTTCCAAGATGCTCTAACAGTAGAAATTACACCAGTTATTTACCTATCTCTCTGGCAGAAGAAATTTATTTGGAGACCTACAGAAATTAGATAACATGATCAATGTTTAGCTCTTCCTAAGGAATGACAATTTGTTCCATTTTATGGACTCCTTTGCCTGTCTGTAATCTCTTAGTTCACCTTAGAAGTCATAATCCACTAACAATCCTCTAGGCAGAATACGACACTAACATTGCTATACTTAACATTCCTACCAAGTGAACCTTCCCCTAGCCTGCTCCTAAAACAAACACCACCACTACCAAAGTTGCTCTAATCATACATATTAACTTGTAAAGGTGGAAAAAGTTTGTAAACATAGGTATTTCTCCCCTAGTACTAACCCATAAATTTATAATTTGCTTTAAAAAATATAGCAGCGTATATGCTTTGGGTAATAATTACTCCTGCAAACCTGGTGGTCATAATTGGTTAGGACACTATGAATAGAAGTCACTGTGTCCATGTTATAGGCCAGATTGCTTTATGTATCATCAGTCAAGACACATTTTCTTTTTCTTTCAAGACAGGAATCTTGCTATGTAGCCCAGGCTGGAGTGGAGTGTGTGATCGTACATCATACAACCTCAAACCCCTGGGCTCCAGCGATCCTCCTGCCTCAGCCTCCGTATTAGCTAGGACTATCTGGTGCATGCCAACATGCCCCAGTAATTTTTCAGTTTTTTTTGAGACATGAGGGTCTCACTATGTTGTTCAGGCTGATCTTGAACTCCTGGCCTCAAGTGATCCTCTCTCCTCACCCTCTCAAAGTGGTAAGATTACAGGCATGAGCCACCATGCCTGGCCAAGACATATTTTCTAACTTGCATTAAAAACAGAAAAATAAAATCAACTCTCAATAACCTTATCTGAGTAGAATCTACTTTCTTTTTCTTCTCTTCTCTAGTACGTTATAAAAATTAAGGACAAAATTACTCATTTACCAAACCACTTTTCAACTTCTTAGTCTGAAAATAAGATTTGGCCGAGAGACTTTGTAGCAGATAACGACTTTAAAAATATTTATTGAAATCAAAACTTTGTAAAAACGTGTTACTTACCACTTAATGTTTTAGATCTAATTGGAGGTAATCCTTTTTTTTGTCGTTCTTTCTCCCTTTCTCTGGCTCTCCTTTCACTTGAGTATGAACGTGATGATTTCCTCTTTCTTTCTCTTGAGCGGGAGCGTGATCGCTTTCTATGTTTACGCTTTCGAGAACCTGACCGTGATCTAGACCTTCGTTTCCTTGGTGATCTACAAAAAAAATTTCATTTTACTTCTAACAAAGTTATCCTTGTATTAAATTTATCACTTCTAAGTGAGGGTGAAGAAAAAGTTTACCTTATATTAATATTTAGGTACCTTTTAAAAGATTTTATAGCATAATCAAGTATCAAACAGGCCTTTTACTGAATTTCTGTACTGCTTCAGTCTACATTAGTCATAAATGTTTGTTTGTAGTGATTCTGAGTTTGGGTGATTATTCATAATCGAGGAAGAAGGGGAGAAGGAGATAATGGAAAGGGCCTCACTTTCAATTTTAAGTGATGAAGATGTTACATTTTTCCAACAGAGCATTAAGCTACTATATAATTCGGCTTAGCAGTTTTCAACTTCTAAAATTTCATGGTGCCTAACTTTATAATAGAAGATGATACTGAAATGTTCTTTTTTTCCTGCCAAACATATATATGCCACTGAGCTCTCCTCAAAATGGTTAATAAGGTGTTGCGAAGACGAATAATGAAGCTTTCAGCACTATATTATAATCGTTTCAGTAAAATAATTCATTGACATGAGGTAAGTTCAGAGAAAGTTGAACTGACAGACTCTCATTTGCAGAGATAAACATACAGGACTTTGCTAACAAGAACACGAAATGTCTGAAAATGTCATCAAGGATAATGTCTTTCTTCCAGCATTTATTGTTCAGATTTTCAAGGCCATTCACATGTGAAAAAAAATAGGGTATAAAAATGTTAAAAGACTGATTGATGACTTTAGGTTCACGAAGAAAACCATTTATAAGACATGTTTTACAATGGCTTGGTATTATAGTTAACATTTATAAAAACAATTTTTCGAGTTTTATTTTCATGACTATTTTTGTTATCATTATGAGAAGAAATGGAATACAAGAAATATATTTTGATTTAAGTGTTGATCAGAGGCAATAATATACTAAACCTGCCAGTGTCACAAAATTATCTAAAATCAAGTAAAATCCAAAATCCTAGTCTCATGACATGGCTGCCACTTTACATATCCTACTCAAATGACTACAGATAGATCCAATTAAAAACAGAACAAAGGTTATCATCTGTTTTAGAAATTCTGAATTATTTTTTCTATGAGACTGTAAAAAAAAGATGTCAGTCCAAGAAAAATATTTCTTTTAATCTTGGTGCAATGAAATAAAGCCAACATTTTAAAAGTTCACACACAGCTATAGTTAAACGTTATTGCAGAACCTTGAACGAGATCGTGAATGTGTTCTTGATCTTGAGCGAACAGCCACTTTTTTAGTTTCTTGTTCAAAGATCTCCTCTTCCACTGCATCTTGCCCTTCATCTATATCCATATCCTTGAAAGTCAAAAGAACAGCAAAAAAAAAAAGGTTGAGATTCAGTTACATATTGACAATTTCGCCTTTAAAAATAGTCACAATATTTGCATTCATGCCTAATTTATAAGTAAAACAGAAGTAGATCTTAAGTGTGGGGAAATATACATCCAGGACATTACCATTATACAGTATTTTACACACTGTTTTCTTTAACTAATTTTAGACATTTATGACCCAGAAAAGCATTCACTTTTACCTGTTGCTGAATGTCTATGGAATCATCCAAGTTGACCTCAGGTTCAAGAAAATGCTGTTGACTGCTCCCTTGTGATGGTGAAGCTGAATGCTCTGACCCAAATGTTCCTTCTTGACTATCCTGAGGAGTGGCCTATTGAGAACATTACAAGCACACAAACATTGGGAGATAACTTTATTCTGAATGAAAATTTAAACACAGCAAGCATCACAATTACACGTTTAAAAAGGAGCCCAATACATAAAGAAATTTCATGTTAAATCACTTATGAAGTAATCAATCTAAAGTTTTACTATATAAATCCAAGTTTACCTAAATGCAGGAAACAACTCCATAAAAAGTGGGGACTATAATATTAGAATAGTATGATCACCTAGGTCTTCAAAAAAATTTAATTGTGGAAAACATAAACTATAGAGGATTCATAAAGAGATTATATCATGAATGTATAATAATGGTATTAAGTTAAAAGTATCTATAATTACATTGACAATTAGCACTAATAAAGATGTTACAAATGAAAAGTACAATAAACTATTTTATATAAAAAAATTATAGTCACATATTACATGTATAAAAAGGCAAAACAAAGCTCAAATGCCAGTATCAAAATCATTGGTCTAGCAAAACCATTAACGATTTGGATGTTCCTTAATATCCTTCAAGAGAAATTCACAAAATAATAATAGGAAGTACTTGAAGATATGTAAAATATTTCAAAAATTCTAATAAAAGTTAGGCAATGAAGCCTAATTATAGGAACATTAAAATTTGAACACACCCTCCCCAAAAGAGAATTATAGTAACTTGATATAGTTACAATGCTTACTTCATGCTGATCAGTATGAACCTGATTAGCAATTATATATACCCTCGGTATCTGTGGGGTATTGCTTCTAGGACACCCGCAAGGATATCAAAATCCAGATGCTCAAGTCCCTTATATAAAATGGCACAGTATTTGCACATAACCTATGCACATCCTCCCATATACCGTAAATCATCTCTAGGTTACTTAAAACAGCTAATAAGATGCCTACACATCACTTCATCCATGTGGATTAGTACAGAGTGCTGACTGTACTACAGTTGTAACTGAAAAATGAGAAAACATTATTATGAAAAAAAATGACTTGGTAGATAAAATCTCCTAAAACATGATCTTGCAGGTGAGTAGTAATCCTAGCACTCTGGGAGGCCAAGGCAGAAGGATTACTTGAGGTCAGGAGTTCGAGACCAGCATGAGCAAGAGCAAGACCCATCTCTACAAAAAATAGAAAAATTAGCTGGGCGTGGAGGCATGTGCCTATAGTCCCAGGTACTTGGGAGGCTGAGACAGGAGGATCACTTGAGCCTAAGAGTGTGAGGTTGCAGTGAGCTATGACGACGCCACTGCACTCTACCTAGGACGACAGAGTGAGACTGTCTCAAAAAAAAAAAATGAAGGTGCTAGCAACGATCAGCAGATGTGTAAAAGAAAAAAAGCAACATGACAGAGCTAGGCAAAGATACACAAAAAGTAAGCAGGGTGGCGGGAATAACTCAGAAAACAGAAGAGAACTTAAAAGTAATTAGTCTCGAAACCATTTTATACAGTACATAAAAAATGCTTTGAAAAAGAAACAGTACAAGAAAAATATTAGAGGTACCGTCTTTGTAGTTTGCTTTTTTAGCTTTCCTTGCACATGGTTGAATATTCAGATTTTTTTATTTTTTGCCAATAATGGCAAAGAGAAGAAAACTGACAGAAGAATATATTTCACAATGATTAGACAAAGCAGAAGATGAATGCAAAGAAACAGCAGCATTCCAAACTCTAATGAAAATGGTGAAATTTAACATATAAGCGAAATATCAGACCATGAGTCTTCACATGACCATACCCTTTAGGGCATGTCTTTCTCAAACCCCATAAAACCGGCAAGTAAAAAATATATCTAAAGACAAAAAGTAAAAAAGGAAATATGCTATTCTCATCCAATTAGCCATTCAATAGGAAGGACTTCATCTTACAGTATTTTGCAATAAGAACCTAGAATGTTCCATGTGGCTATAAGAGCACGTGGCATTTAAATTTCATTGACACAAAAATGTTTGCTAAATTTAAATTATATTGAAATTCCTAATAAAACTTTTTCCCTCCATTCCTTTAGTGCTCACTTCTGTAAATTATTTGTCAGATCACTTAAAACTGTAAAAAAAAAAAAAAAAAAAAAGGGTCCACTGGACTTAGGTGGTAAATTACTATTTTTTCTGGTATACATCTCTAGTATACATCCCAGCATACATCATACTCTAATTTCTTCATTGATATCTTCATGCAAAACATCAATAAAAATATTGAAAAAAATAAAAGACAAGGGTAACAGCAGCTAGCAGAGACTTCTTTCAAGGTTGGCATTAACACTCATTATGTGTCACATTTTGCTCAGTTATAAATCCACTTTTCTCTTTTTCTTTCTGTAGAAGTAAGTGACAGGAAAGACTGTCAAAGGCTTTACTGAAATCTGCATATGTTATGCCTACAACAATTTCCTGACTTATGAGTCTAATAACGCTACAACTTTAGTATCCCAAAATGCAATTTATCTGTGTCTATACACAATTACTTATTTATAACAACTTAGGGATAGATATATCACCCATCTTAGATTTCATCATGTTCAGTTTTACTCTTCCAATTACATTCTCTTCCCATTATATTCTAAAAAATTTCTGAAGCAAAATAAGTTACATATTTCTGATATTCCACTGATAGCTCTTCATCACTAATGGGCTGGATCATCTTTAATTTTTTTATTTTTAACATTCTTTTAAAATCCTCCTTTATTAGTCTTAACCATTTTTATCATCAGCATTTCATTCTGAGCTATAGCTCTCCTAACATCTTTTGAATATCCTAATATTACAACTAGCAAAATCATGAACTCCAACTTACTCAAGATACAATAATAGAAATTATTCCTCTTATTACATGATTTCTAGTCCCTTCACAATTCTGGCCATTTTTCTCTAGAAAAGTGCTCTGGGTTTTCAATGGTTTTCTACTTTTATGCAGACTAGACCTCAACACACTTCAGGTGTGGTTAGACCTGCAATGAGTAGGGTGGTACTATCAATCCTATTCCTTCAGCTAAGACACTATGACAACTTTCAGGCAGCCATACTGAGTTTACCGGTAAACAAAAATGCATCATTTTTCTACATATTTCACTCTATTTTAAGTACATTAATGCAACTGGTTTGGTAGAGCCAATTACACAATTTATTAATTTTAATTGTTACCCTGGTTAACATACTTTCCTTTCTAAATCTGCCACAGGTTTTATATTCACTGTCCACCTTAGGCATTACAAAACCATTCTAGCTTCATTCTTCACCACTCTCTTTTCTTCATCAGACTCATTTTTGAACAATGAAGCCTTTGAAACTTCTCCTTTCAAAGAAATCTTATTACTGTATGCTGTGAAATTTTGGAATATCTAGAGTTCTCTTTTGGAGGGAGGTAGGTGAGATTCTTAAGACAGACTTGCTCTCTCTCTAATTTCTAGTAACTTTCACTTCAATAACATGGTGTTAATTACAAGCTTGTCAAAAGTATTACCTCGATTTTACTGCTTATGCTAAACCTTCTGAAATGAAACTATGACTAAGGCAATTCAAAAAGTGTCACATTTACAGCTGAAAAAATCTGTTATTAAATAAACTCTTTCATCACTACTACTTCTTGCCTCTACAGTAGTTCTGCGATTTTGCATTATGTTACTGATGACCTGTTCCTTTTCTTTGAGGGACAACTTGTGTTTTTCTTTAAAAACCATCCAAATGTTCTTCATTGTGTTCTATCTTCAACTTCCTGGATTCTCAGGCAGATATATCTGCTTAACATAAAATACTTACCCTCCTCTGACCACTTCTATCAGAATTATTTCCTCAAAACAAGGTATGACATTCCATTCTCATAATTCTAGGCATGAGTTCCAATACAGAAACTATCATGAATATCTGTTTTATATTTGCTAATTGCATTAAAAGGTCAAGTTCAAACCCTAGCAGTATCTAAGTTTGTTACTCCTTCCATCTAAAGTAATTGTTCCCTACTCTATACTCCCATGGTCCTTCACTTGTGTACCCCTTATTATAGAACTAAACAATTCTGCAGTGTGTTCATACAGATGTATGTGTTCCATTAAAGAAAAGGTTACCTGAAGCCAGAACCTCAATTAACCTCTTTTCCACTCATCATTGTATGTATCATTTGCATTGCTCTTACTTAAAAAATATCTGTGGTATTATGTTAAATTCGTTAATGACAATTTTTTTTAAATCTAAGGCAGAAGTATGTGGGGGTGAGGGGAGGTCCTAACACTCTTATGCTAAACAGTTCACATTTACAAGTATTTCTCATACAGAGCAGAAATAGACTTTATAATGGATTTAATCCTACCTCTACAACTTGACACATTTTATCCATTCTAAGGTACAATATTTTGTCACACTTAATCATCTCTGAAATTTATAAGATTCTTACAACTAAAAGGGATGTTGTACTTTAGTTAGAAGTATTTTAAATTGCTTAGCTTTACATAAAATAACAGCATGTCTTAAGACAGATCACATACATTAGCTGTATACTTCTGCATTAGATATTAAATCTCACCAAGCTTCAACTGCCTCTAGAGTAAAATCGAGTCATAATGCCTATCTCATGAGGATTAAATGTAATCACACCTATTATATGCCTGATAAAGTTCCTATCATATGATAAGAGCAATTAAATTTTTAAAATTAAAGATCACAATCTATTTTGTCATCATCCCGTTATCACCAATAACATAACCATCATTACCTTGCTTGATAGGGAACAGAGTGGAGAGAAAAACACATGAAGCTCTAAGGTAGTTGTAAAACGCTACCTCTGTCTCCTGTTCTCTACTTACAGTATACGGAAATTGATTTCTACACTGCGGATTCTTAAGTTGCCAGACTCATTTTGATTAGAGAAAAAACCATAAAGGTCCTGAAAAGACTGATCTTACTAGTAATAAATAGTTGTAGAAATATCACCACATTTATACTTTAGATAGAAATAAAGTGGTTGGTAAAAGCTAAACAGGTAAGAAAATGCTCATCTGTTAAGAACAAAGGAAAAAATAAATCACTCTACAGAAATGCCATTTATAGAGTATAGACGGCAATAACTCTAACGACCACAAGATGGGGTTATAAACCTTTTGAGGCTGTTGTTCCAGGAGCTGCTGTCTGAGATGTTCAAGGTTTTGCTGTTGTAGTTGTTCTGCTATCTGATGAAAAATGGAATTGTTCACAGATTCTGAAACATGAGAACTAAAAGAAAAAAAAAGTGGGAATATATTTTAAAACCCACTAAAGATAACATGAAAATAAACTGAGTATTCAAAGAAAAGAAAAAATGCCAATTCAATAAAACATACACTACTACAATGTTTGGTTTTGAAATTTTAAAACCAAAAGTGGAACACTTAACATTAATACATTAAAACAGAAATATATTCTTCAACAGTATTTCAATAGATGGATAACATGTTAGAGATGCTCTGCTGGAGACCTAATATTACTGTCTCATGCTATTAAATACATACAAATTAGTGCTTTTCATTAGCGTATTTTAAGAATAGCTCAGTACAACACATAAAAAGTTTAAAGTATTTAAATATTGTCACTTTAAGTCCTTCTCTAGCTATGAGATAGTGAGAAAAATGGTCTATCACTCTACAGTTATAATCGATCATATACTTTATAAAACTAATATGCTTCCTTTAGAAAAGCATATAAATTAGGTATATTAACAGAAATAGACAGTATTTAGATAAGAGGAAATAATTTAACTATACTCTGGGAAATTCACACCTGGAATACACCTGGAATTCTGGGTGCCACAAGGTAAGACATGAACAAAAAAGAGGGCATCCCAAAATGAGCAAGCAGGATGGTGAGAAGTCTTGAAACAGTTGGAAAAAAGTGTACTTCATCTGGAGCAAATAAACCTAAGGGGAAGAACGATATCTATCTTCAAATACTGAAAAGCTATGTCTCCAAAGATAATGGAATAAATCTGTTTCCTTGCTTCAGAAAGCGAAACTTGGAACAACGTGTAGAAAATAAAGGAAATGGAATTCAGTTCAACAAAAAAACACATAATAATAACAATTACTTAATGTCTTATCTCAGAAGGTGTTAAAATGGATAAATAACCCTATCAGGACTGTTAAGAGATTTTTACATTGTTTAGGACACCTGCATGATCTCATATGGTTCTTCAAATCTAAACTACTAGTTTTTAATTTTGTCAGAGAGAATCACTTTACCAAAATGATATATTTGTATTTAATATATTCTATAATTACATGTTTTTATATATTACCCTCGATATATAAAATAATCACTGTTTGAAACAAGAGTGCCAGACACTTTCGCCATTCATTCTCCCTCTTCCAATGCCTCCACTGCCTGTCTCCCCACAACATCCTCCTCCTGCTGGTCCTTTCACATACCCTCACAGAATCTAAGGTTCTGCAGAATTGTTTAGAAAAAAAAAAATCACTGATTTAAATAAAAGCATACAACCCATTTTAAAAAACAAAATCCCTACAAACCCAATTCTTGCTTCTGATTAGGCTGGTGTGTTCCCAGAATTTGGTAACCTCCTAGAAGTGGCCTTTGGCACTAGAAGTAAGTTTCGTTCCTAGTACCGCAAATATTCTTACAATTGAATTAAATAAATTAAAGCCTAATAGAGACATAGAAAATACGACCACGAGATTTACCAATATTTATCAATTTTTCCTACAAGGAACTTGATATACCCAACTATCTGCAAAGATCTGAGAGTCCAAATAATACAGGGAGGGCAATAAGACAACATCTCCAGCACCTTGCTATCACGTTAGAGCTCAAATACTTGAAATAATAACCCCAGCTTATTCAAAGCGTACTCAGTAGTTCAGACAGCAACATCCCTCCCAATAATTACAAAAATGACCAAAAAAACTATGGCTATAAAGAAAAACATAATTCTTACAGTTGAGAAGTCGGAATTTCCTTTTTTGGCTCTTCACTATGCTCAGAATCTTCCCCAAAATCAAACCTATCCATCAACTTCTGGGGGGAAGGGGAAAGAAAGAGACAAATTAAGAAGTACTTCACACAAATGTAAGTTACAAATGCTACTTTAAATGTCAGTAATGTCCCATTAATTTACCTCTATCATTTAATATATGTTTTATATTATTTTATATTCTACTATTATAGAGTAAAGCATTTTATGAGTGGATCTTTTCTTTTAAAGTACTTTGACATATTACCTCATGTAACAAAACAAACTACGATATATACACAGGATAAACATTAATACTATAATTTTATGGAAGAAAAGACTAAGGATTTAAGTAATTAAGTGGCTTTTCCATGGTTATACAACTTGATAAAACATCTAAGACCATAATCAATAGATCTATTTCTAGTATGGTTCTCATTTTGGAATGTTCCACTATTCTTTTGAACTCTCAATTTAAAGGCTTTTTATGTGGTCTAGCTATTTAGAGTTAGACTAAATTAGACTTGGAATCTACTAGCGTTTAAAAAAGTCTAAGTAATAATCTGGTATTAATAAATCAATATTTATTTTCCTATAAAAACAGTAGTAGTAGAAATAAAAGAATGTGGATACCACTTCCAAGTATTATGATATTCCCATAATTAAGAAGCATACTTAAGATATCATACAATAAATTATACATGAAAGATTTTAAATTTTAAAAACACTATCTTTTATATTTAGGCTTCAACTTATCATATTATAACATAGTGACAAGCTGTGGAGAAGTTTTCCTTTGAACTTCCACATATTGAACAGTTTCAATTTTAGTAGGATAAAATTATAGAACACAGAGTATCACAATTAATAAAATTGTGGCATTCATGAAAGAAATTAGACAAGTTCAGAAAATAATCACTTGCCTAAACAGAGACTACAAGATTTTACTGACCATTTATCGTTAGCCAAAAGAAAATATCTTAAATGTTTCAAGAGGAATTTTAAAATTATTTGATTTCTTCAGAAGTTTGAATGTTTTGTAAAATTCAGAATGTCTTCTACAGTACAGTGGATATTAAAACAGTCTATGACAAAATGTATTTATAGAATTAGAATACACATGGGAGTACATAAAATTTAACAATTCATACAGAACAGATTTGATATTTCATTTCTACCTTGTTAAAAGAGACTCCCTGTTCTAAGGGAGTCAGAGTGTTGGCTGCTGCAGCTGCAGCTGTCAGTTGTGCTGTAAGAGCCTGCAACTGGACCACAAGACCAGCATCCAGGGCCTGCAGAATGGAAGGCTGGGGCTTCTGCTGTTGTAGCTGTAAAGTTTGTATTAACTGCTGGAGCTGGAGAGGAAAAAAAGTTATTACAATACAGGTGTTGGGTTTTATTTATAAGTGTCCATGTAAAACTTTTAGTCAATAAAATTAATCATTCTACACATTCTTAGGCGATCAAGAGAAAAACATGCTGACTCAAAACAATGGTTAAGTTTTTAAAAAAGTTTTTTTGTGCACTAGATATTAACAGTCCTTATTAAGTCTGCATTGCTTTGGGAAAGTCAGTGAACTTTAAACAAAAGAAAGTGGTCATATGAAACGCAGATAAAGAACCCACTTTTTCACTAAACTTCTTATCCCTGCTTCAATTAACTCCTTAAACTCTGTGAAGGAATAAGCACTGAAAACAGCAACATCTTCTGCTATCATTCAAATTTATCATCTCAGAACACATTTTCTGAAAGGTGAAGAACAATTAAATTTGTTTCTTAGAGTCTGATATGAAGGAAATGAGTTATTAATGAATTGTATCATCTAGAGTTGAAAGCAACCTACGTTCCCACTATGCACCCAACCCCTGTCAAAAAAAGATACATAACAGTAAGATCTTTAAGAGATTCCATAGATTTAAAAACCCTACATACATCCCAGAAATAATTAATAATCAGTCAAGTTCTAATACTAAATTAAATCCAAAATTTATCAGTTTAGAAGAGAAAAATAAAAACAGCACAGCTACTGATAACCAAAACATCTGTACTTGTTAAGTAAAGTTCAACTTCCAGTAGAAGGCACAGACACCATGCAAGACAGTAAAAAAAAAAAAAAAAAAATTTGTGTCTACCTAAAATAGAAACATTAGGAAACAAACTAGAGTCATCTAACTATCAACTAAACATTTTCCACAAAACTACTAATATGACAGCAAAGAAAACATAAAACTGTATGTTGGTTAAGTTACTGAACTCAGGAAGCTCCAGAACGCTTAAGACCATGAATAAATACAAGACAACATGAATCCTCTAAATCACTGTGAGGAAGGAAGGAAGGAAAGGAGGGAGGGAGGGAGAGAGGAAGCAAGGAAGGCAGGGAGAACAAGGAAGGCAGGGAGGACGAGGATGGGAGGGACGGAAAGAAATGCTGTATTTCTCCTTTATACATTTAACTGCTCCTTTTGACTTCTGCATTGTTTTCCACTGTCTCAAAAATGTAGAACAGATTCGATCTAAGACTATACATTGAATTGATTTCTATATTTTTAAAAGTCTAGAATGGTCTCATGTTTTTGAGACCATCTTTTCAGAGAGTACACAACCCTACTATTTTTTACAGTCATTACTTCCTTTCCAAAATCATTATTACCAAAAAAAAGATATTCCCTGTCTCTAGACTTGTCTCTTCTCCAATTCACTTAAAGTACTGTTCAGATCATGACTTCAACATAAAAATCTCTGGCAATTCTCCATTGCTCAGCAAATGAACCCTGGATCTCTCAGCCCAACATTTACAGCATTCACAACCAAGGTCTCACTTAAGTCTGCTATTTCAACTTTGTTATTAATAACTTACACTGATTATCTTTTCCTCCACATAACTCAACTCCAGAACATCTTTTGTATCTCCAACACTGCTATGCTTCCGTACATCATTCATTCATTCCACAAAAATATATTCCACTATATAACACCTACTGAAACCTAGACACTAGAAATACAGCAGTGAAGAAAACAGACAAAAATCCTTGTCCTTCTACAGCATCTATTCCAGAAGGAAGAGATAGAGGAAAAACAACTAAGCAAATTTTATAACGTAATAGAAGGTAGTTAAGTGCTAAGGAAGGAAATGAGGCAGGTGAGAAAGGAAGGGAGTATACAGAGGATAAAAGATAGAGTATACAATTTTAAATAGCAGTCACTGAAGGCAGTATTAAGGTGATATTTAAACAAAGACTTATAGGAGGTTGAAACCACATGAATATGTAGGAAAAGTGGGTTTTCAGTATGGAAAACATCAAGTGCAAAGATTTCGGGCAGGATTATAAATAGTATATGTAAGGAACAGCAAAAAGGCCAGTGGGGCTACAGTGGACAAGTCCCGGGGGGAAAGAGTTGAGGAAGTGAAGCAAATGATAATATAAACTGAGCAGGGTGGGGGGCAACATGAGCAAAGAAAATACTTATCATTAGTTTAGAAAAAAATCTTTGATCAGTGATAGAACATGTTGGGAAGGGAACAAAAGATCAAACTGAGAGCATACAAGACCTAGTGAAGTGACTGTTAGGACTTGGGCTTTCACTGCATGAGAAAGGGAGCCACGGAAGGAATTTGAGCAGAGGAGTTACATGAGTGATTACGTATTAAAAGGGTCACTCTGCCTGGGGCAGTACTAACAGACTGTACTGGAACAACGGTGGAAGTCCCATTAAGAGGCTACTGCAATAAAAGATGAAAGCTGGGCATGGTGGCTCACGCCTTTAATTCCAGCACTTTGGGAAAGCCGAGGTGGGAGGATCACCTGAGGCCAGGAGTTTGAGGTTGCAGGGAGCTATGATCACGCCCACTGAACTCCAGCCTGGAAGAGAGAGAGAGACCCTATCTCTAAAAAACTAAAAAACAAAGAAACATGTGAGAAACGATGGTGGCTCAATCCTAGGAACTAGTGATAAAGGTGATGAGCAGTGGTTAGATTAAGAACATATTCTGAAGGTAGAGGATTTCTCAGGAGATTGGATGTGAAGAATGAAACAAAGAAAGAAATCAAGGATGACTCTAAGCTTTTGAGTCTGAGCAACTAGAAAAATGGCATTTCCATTAAATGAGATGAAGATGCAGGTTTTGTTTGAAAGATTAAGAATTCATCTTTTACTCTCAATAGTTTTCTGTCTACATAGCTTATGCTTAGCATGTCTTTCTTACCTATCCTTTAAAAAAATTAAATATCATCTGTACAACAGAATTTTCCCTGAACCAATTAGTCAAGCCAAAGAATTATCTTTACTTCTGAGTTTTCAAAGCCCTTTTATTACTCCCATGACTTTTTTCTTTTTTTAAGAGATAGGGTCTTACTCTGTTGCCCAGGCTGGAGTGCAGTGGCTCAATCATAGCTCACTGCAGCCTTGAACTCCTGGACTTGAGTGATCCTCCTAGCTCAACCTCCCAAGAAGCTAGGACTTACAGATGCATGCGCTTGCCATGCCCAGCTGATTTTTAAATTTTTTGTAAAGACAATCTACGTTGCCCAGGCTGGTCTCAAACTCCTGGCCTCAAGCAATCCTCTCACCTCGGCCTTCCAAAGTGCTGGGATTACAAGGCATGAGCCACCACGCCTGGCCCTCCCATGATTCTTATTAATTTTTAATTTAGATTACATTTATGCATTCCGATAAACATTGCCTATTGAACTCTAGGTTTCCAGAGGCCAGAGGATATTTTTTCTTTATCTTGTATAGCCCAGCAAAAAGTATAGTGTCTCAAAAATTGCAAGTCACAGTAAATGCTTGTTGGAGGTTCAATGAAAAACAAGTACCAATGAAGTGACACAATACCACTGGACTTCAGAGACCAAACGAGCACTAAAATAGTTTAATTTGATTTGAATAGTGAAGAAAGGGTGAGACATAAAGCAAGTGGAAAAGCAGATAATAAAAGTAAAAGGGAGAACAACATGAACAAAGAAAATACAAGAAAATACTTACATTAATTTAGAGAAATCTATGAATCTGTGTAATGTAAACAATAAAAAAAAGTTGAAAAAAAATAACAGGTTACGCTGAAAATAACTTTAAATGCCATAAAGTTGGATTTTATTCTATGTATAACACGCAATTACTGCATGCTTCTGAGTATGTAAGACACATACGACCATTTTTAAAGATTAATCTTTCAGAGAAATAAAATGATGGGTCAAAAAGGGAAAAGACGCAAAGAGACCAAAGGCTATTTATATTATAACATCAATAGTCCAAAAATGAAGGTGAAGGAGGACTAGGGTAGTAACAGAAAGAGATAAAAAGAAAGCAAAAACTCTAGTAAAAACATAAATCTGGCCGGGCGCGGTGGCTCACGCCTGTAATCCTAGCTCTCTGGGAGGCCGAGGCGGGCGGATCGTTTGAGCTCAGGAGTTCGAAACCAGCCTGAGCAAGAGCGAGACCCCGTCTCTACTAAAATTAAAAAGAAATTAATTGGACAACTAAAAATATACAGAAAAAATTAGCCGGGCATGGTGGTGCATGCCTGTAGTCCCAGCTACTCGGGAGGCTGAGGCAGGAGGATCGCTTGAGCCCAGGAGTTTGAGGTTGCTGTGAGCTAGGATGACGCCACGGCTCTCTAGCCCGGGCAACATAGTGAGACTCTGTCTCAAAAAAAAAAAAACCATAAATCTAAAAAGCAAAAACACAACATAGATCATCAGATGTGCATGCCAAAGTTAAATTTTTAAAAAATTGTGTGCAATTATGAAAAGTAACAAAATCGATGGTTTTTAATTGTAAATATCTTTATTAAAGCCTATTTGGGAAATGCAGAATAAGTGGATAAAAATAACAAAGAAAGAATGTGAAGACGTTATCAAAAAATAATCTCACAAAACACACCAAGCCCTGGAGGTTTTTTGATTAAGTTCATCCAAAATATCCAGGTACAGAAAGTAAGTAGTCAAGCTGTACTATACAGAACATAAAAAAGGAAAACATTTCTGAATTGATCTCACGAAGCCAGAAATAACCCTAATTTAAAAACTGAGAATAGTGATAAAAACTAGAGACTCATCTCACATCAGAGGGTTGCAAAATAGTGACAAATAGAAAACTATAATAGTTGCAAAAGAATTTACATTTCACAACTCTTTTCGAAAAACAAAAATTATAGAATATTTAAATGCACTGCCTCAGAAAAGTTCAATTGTGTTTATATGTGTATAGAATTGCAATGGTGAATCACTATGAGAAAGTCTAATAACCTAATTCTTTATATCCACTGGTTAAAGAAGAAAACCTGTATTATTATCTTTACTGATAAAATTTTAAATCAAAACCCAATAAAAACACTATCATCTAAGAAAAGCAGAATATACCCGTAATAAAGAGCACGTATCTCAAAACAAAACCAACTTGATACTGGGAAACAAAAGATGCATTTCTCTTTGAGTCTGGAAAGAAGATAAGAATGAATGTGTGCTATACTACTTCTGTTAAAATCTCTTCTGGAACTTAGAGCTGGTACAATAAAATAAGAAAAATATATACATTGTTAAGTACTTAAATTGAGGATAAAGAATTACCATTAGTTGCAAATAATATAATTTAACTGAAAAATAAAAAAATCAATTGAAAACTAACAGCAATCAGGCAGGCGCTGACTATAAAAATCAAATCTATTGAAATGTATTCACAGAAATAAATCTAAGAAATGTGAGGAAACTACATTTAAAAAGGTACAAAGCTAACCTAAGAGACATAAAAGATTTGAACAATAAATGTGTAAGTACAATGGAATAACCTGACACTGTGAAGACACCAATCTTTCCCATTCCTCAAATAGATCCACACATGTGGTGCTGATTCCCCTATTCTCCTTAAGTTCCAGCCACAGAAACCTTCCTTCTATTCCTACAATACACCACACTACTTAACCACCTCAGGACCTCTACACTTAAAATTCTCTCTGCTTCCTATTCTCCTACCCTGCCATGACTAGTTCCACTTCAAGTCTCAATTCAAACGTCACTTCCTCAAAGACACCTTCTCTTGGCTACCCTCTCTGATTCTGACCCCGACCCCCAAACCTAGTCACTCTATAGATTTATCCTTTCTAAAGTCATATGTCACTATCTACAATAATTTTGTCCTATATTTTTATTGTCTGTTTCCCCTAAGATAGGAAGAAGTCTTCTCCAAGATAGGAGACCAGGCTGTCTTGTTACTGGGGTGCAATAGCACCTAATAAAGTCTGGCACGAATTAGGTGCTAAATCAATATTTTGGTATAGAATGAATTTTTATAAAACAATCTTTGATCACAATGGAAGTGTTCACAATGCATTATTAAATGACAAAAACAAGTTACAGAAGAGTATATATAGTGATGCCATTTTTATAAAACTAAAAAAAAAAAGTACTCTCTAGGTGGTATGCTATGAAACAATACATTAGGAAAATAATGAATTTTAAATCAATCTCGACATAATAGAAAAATTGCTCACCTGTTGGCCTTGAGGACTTTGTAAGATCTGAGCCACTGCTGCAAGTGTATCTGTATTTGTTATCTGAGATACCCATGGATCAGGTAAGCCTTGGACCACATTGGCTGGAGTAACAGGTGTCACTGGAGTTCCTTTTAAAAAGGACATCACACACCAGAAATAAATATTTAAGTAAATAAAATAATTGCTAGTCATTGGGCACAGATTATATGATCATTTTCCCTCTTTCTTTATAGCTATGATGAATCATTAAACAGAGCCCTAAACTTAGCCAACAAGGCCCCTGAAATCTATGATTTTCTGTAAAGCTTTTGTGAGTTATATAAATACTGCCATAAACTGTACCAATGAACAGCTTAAAGGATTCAAGACACTCCAAGCATTAGAATTTAAGAATGCTTCAGTAGAGTGTTTAGTCTGTAAAAATATAACTGACCTGTAAGATGACAGCAATATGTCCATCAGGATTTTTAGAAAGATCATGAATCACCTACTTTCCTATCTTATCCAATGTCATACTGATGAATCTTTTTGAAACATGAGATCATACTCTGAATTTCAAGCTCAATTTCAGTTAGAAATTAATCAATGATATACAAATAGCGGAATGTTGATATAGGCAGTTGAGCAAGTACCAATAATACTTATTTAAATAGAGTTGGGATACGCCCTTATAATTTTTT